CACGCGCGCACACACACACAAATGCTGCTCAGCGTGGTGTCTGAGGCTTCCATGCAGCCACTTAGAGAAACCCTCAGAGAGGAAGTTTCTGACTTTCACAGTAAATTAGTCCAGGGGGTGATGGAACGGCTGGAGTTCGGCTGTTATGATTCCTCTGTTTCTGGGCTGTGACGAGCTCAGAGCAGCACAAACACTCACAGATGAGCTGATAAACTCACCTGAGCTCTGCCAGACGTGCTCAATCTGCTGCAGTTTAATCTGCAGACGCCTGACAGAGGGAACGGGAGCCCACTTACCCCCTGAGTCCGAGGGAGGAGGAGTAGATGTTTAGACTTAAACTTTGGAAAAATGTCAAAACCCACAGCTGTGAATTTAAAGAGCTGTGTAATAAATAGGATGAAGCTAAATCTCCACGTGTTGATGTTCCCTAGCCGTTTTTAATCTGCTCCCTGCGAGGCAGACACTCAGGGTTCAGGTGTTTTTTTCAACTCTTGGCTCAGTATGATGTCACACAGACAGTATATCCCTATATAAAGTGAGGTTTCCCCTCACCTGCTACACCTGCTTTATGCCAGCGGCCTCACAAACACCAGAAGTGACATCACAGCTGAAGATAGGGCTCTGCGGTTGTGTCTGTCTTGGCCACCATCTCGGCGGTATGTGAGGAGCTCAGAGGTTACAGAGGTTCTGCCCTGCTGGAAACCTTCTGCAGAAAACTTCCATAGAAACTTTCTCTCTCGTTTTCTTCTCCTGGATCAATGCTGCTTCACTTATTGTGACATGCTCACGGCCATGAAGCCCCACCTGCAGTCCAACCCTCTGTTTGTGAGGGGGAGCCAGTCAAAAGATAGGGGGAGGAGCTAAAACAGCTAGTGTAAGACAGGCTGCACTGAGGCCCAGGATCACATAAAAAAGAATTATTTTGAGCTGTGATCATGCAAAGCTGCCCTGAGGAGCCTGAGAGCAAACATGCATTCTGCTGTCAGTGATGAACGCTGTGGCTGCTTGAGGTTTAGGAAAACATATTTGCAATACCAAATTCCATGGCTTTGACCTTTTTCAGTTTCACTTCTGTATTTTCACCCACATGCACACTCAGACTTCCCAAATTAAACATTTGTCCTCAGAGCACCATCAGGATGAGCTCATCTCTGTGTGAGAAACCTTTAGCTTTATTTGTGGGTTTGTATCATGACACTCCACGCTGTTCTTTTTCTGGCTTTCAGTAAAAGTCAAAATGTGCTGCTTCCACATTTGACCTCAAATGTCTGGAAAGTTTTATTCTTTTATTTAAAGTGACTGTCAGATTAAAGTGCACAGCTCCAGACTCTCTCACAGAGCACCTGTGAATCATGCACACCTCAAATCTCTCATTCTGGCTCTTGGTGTAGCTCTGGTTTAAAACAAGCTGTTTAGACTCCACCCTCTTAAACTCAACTTTCTTTTGATTGGCCGCCACTCACAAACGGAAACCATGAGCTGCATGTGCGCAGAGCCTCTCCCTCTCCTAACAGCTGTGCCTTCCAGCTGTGGGCTGCTCTCTGAAGCTGCTGGTTTGTCTTGTGGTTGAGTTAAACTTCATTCTGTTTGTCAGAGTAATCTGTAATCTGGAGTTTTTGGGCTCTCTGCTGAAAGCTGCAGCTGGTAAAACAATGAGTTTGAGTGAGAAACCTCAGCAGATGTTTTCAGCCTGTTAGGATCCATCATCTGTGGATCTGATCAAGAGCTTTAGTTTGAAATAGCAGCAGACATTTCCTTCACTGCATGTCCTCACTAAGCTCCAACACTTTCAGAGTCTTCTTTCTCTGAGGAAGAAGTCAGAGAGCATGAGCACATCTGAAGGGGGGAGGATACACCGGGGTGTCTACTTTCATCAGCAGGAAGCGGGGTTACGGACCTGAAGCCCTGTAAGGGTTCAGGTCTGATTCCCGGGCCTGTTTGGCTGTAGCAGCTGAAACTCGAGCAGCTGTGCATCAGCAGGAGGATCACAGCGAGGCTCCCCAGGGCTCTCCAGGCCCGCATACCGCCGCTCAGTCGTAACCACAGAGGCTGCCTCCCACTGCAGCCCGCGTCGTGAACCCGGTGACCCCGAGGACCGGGACCAGACACATATGTCTAACTCTACACAGTCGTGGGTGTGTGCTGAGCTTCCAGAGCGTCTCGGTGAGGAGGAAATCCCTCTTTTGTTTCCAAGGAAGTGGAGTGTGTGCTGTGTGTGAAGGAGGGTGAAGTGTGGCCGAGAGACGCTCAATAACGAGCTGCACTCTGAGAAAGCAGCCACTTCCTCTGGCACAAGCAGGCTCACTCAGTGAGGACGAGAGGCTTAATCTGAGTTATGTTAGATGATGAACACATGTTCACTACTGTGTTAGCATATCCTCACAAGCACAGCTTTAACACACACACACACACACACACAAGGACTCTTAAGTATTTATCGATTATTTATTGAACATTCGATGAATCGGTGTGATTCTGTCAACAGGCTCAGGACCAGCTGTGAGTGTGTGTGTGTGTGTGTGTGTGTGTGTGTGTGTGTGTGTGTGTGTGTGTGTGTGTGTGCGCGCGCACGTGTGTCTATGTGAATGTGTATCCGTGTGTGTGTGAGTGTCTGCCTGTGTGTGCGCGTGTGTGTGTCTGTGTGACTGTGAGTGTCTGTGTGTGTGTGTGTGTTCTAAGTGATAAAATTATTATTATAATAATCCAGTGATTAAGAAAAAGATGAAATCAAAAACAACAGGAGCTGCTCAGCTTTGTATGATTCACAGTTCAAAATAATTCTTCTTTGCATTATTCTGCACCTTCAAACAAGAAACAAAAATTCTGAGTGAAATGCAAAGTCATAGATTATTAATTTATGCATGCATGCTTCATATAAACTGAATGTATACAAGCCAACATTAAATGTATGGTTTCACTACCACAGGTAATTTTACATGCTGAGCATCTCTGTGATAAGCTGAGTGTTTGGATCACTGCAGCCTCACTGGGACTCCTGAACACACACTGAACTCAGTATTCAACACTCTGCTCGTGGTTAACATCACACAGTATTAACGTGTCCAGTCAAAGTCGGGAATTTTGAGCGATTCGCCTGTAGTCAGAAGGATGCAGATGGAGGGATATGTGTGGTTCAGAGTCCTGTTTGGGAGTTTAAACTATTTAAAGAAGAGAAGAATCCCAGCATGCGTTGTTAAGTCTCCTCAGTGTGTGTGTGTGTGTGTGTGTGTGTGTGTGTGTGTGTGTGTGTGTGTGTGTGTCCAGACTCAGGGATGTGTTTATGATGGAAACAGGCTCTTTGTCTTTAATGAGAGCTGATTTAACAGAGGCAGCCTGTCATTAACGTGAAGGTAGTCTCTGTGAGGCCGCTGTGTCACTCACATACTCAGTGTGTCTCTGCTTGGTCCTCAGACTTCCTCTGCAGAGAGCTGCTGTAATCTCAACATGCATGACCGTAATCTGCATGGTGCGAGGAGGGGGGACAAAGAGAGCCTAGAAAATGAGGAAAAAACAAACAAAAAGACAGAGGGGGAGGGGAAGGGGTGGGGGCAGTGGGGCCACCATGCTGCTCTCCACAGGGAGCACAGCAGAACTGTGAGTGGGCAGTAATGAGTGTGTTCAGTGTTTCTGGGAGGGGATAGTACATGCCTCCTGCTCTGCTTCATCAGCACAGACAGACAGGCTGGAAACAATAATCAGCTCCTCAGCCCGGCTCTGTTGATGATAGCTTATTTTCTTTTTCCCATCAAACCCGAAGCGCCAAACCGGCCCTAAACGCATCCCAACGTTTCACAAACACACGCGCAGCGCTTGGGCCAAAACGGTTCTGCCTTCTAGAACCACAACCCATCACTGTGCTCATGTGCAGCAGAAACTGATACCGGACAGACGGTATCGGTGTGCCAGCTGTTTTTACCTCGTTTCCTCCAATCCAGAGCCAGATCCACACGATCCCACTGAAACAGAGACCTGTGAGCTGCAGCTCCTCTTCCGTCCAGCAGAGACAGCAGTGAGTCCGTCCCAATAGACTCCTAATTTTAAAGCATTTATACAACTTGCGCCATTCACCAATTTATTATTCCTACACTCACCTGTTTAAATTGGATTAAGGCTTAAAGTTTGCATTACTACAGCCGTGGCCCCTTTGGCAGGTTGATGGTGACACAGGTGGCTCTAGCTGCTAGCTGTCTGCTAACTGGACCTCTGGGCCATGTTTGTGGCTCTCGGAGCCTTTTGGAGCATTTTAGTTACTGTACTAACAGACCATCCAAGAGCTCCCGCTGGGCTCATAACACTTTTATATATGTGGGGGCGACATATGGACAGGTACAGCTCTAATTAACAGACTTTCACTCATCCAACCCGGATTTCAGACTCTCTGGAAAGTCTGCTCCCAATATTGTTTATACAGATACCTGCTGAGATGAAGCAGACAGCTAGCAGCCACAGCCGCCTGTGTCTGTAGTATTAAATGTTTGTAGTTTTTGTCCGCAAATAATCACTACCTTTTGATTAGCCTTGTCTCATGCTTTCGTGCTTTGTGGCAGATCTTTGTTCTGTCTTCACTGAGATATTTGAATGCTAATCAATAAAATCAAATCAAAATCAAAATCAAACTACTACCTGAGCGGGACATAAACTGGATATGGAGACTTCAACATAAAAGTTTTGCCTTATGAAAGATGTTAACTGCAACCCTGACTTTTACTTTGAAGGTGAACTTTCTCTATTTCCAGTTTACATCCCATTTTTTACAGTTTTGCTACTACTTAGGTAGTAGTTAGTGAATATTGGCAGACAAACAAGAAAAATATATTTTTGAGACTCAAAATGTGGTCTTAGTGTTGGGGTTGTGATATGAAAACCTGTGTGTGTGTGTGTGTGTGTGTGTGTGTATGTTTGCTGTAAACGCGTTTATTTCTGCTGTAAATGTCGGACACGTTAACACGGGAGTGTATGGGGGCTGACCCGCCGCTGGCGCCCCTGCTGGCCGCTGGAGGAGCTGCAGAGTGCGGAATTTGAGGCCCGGGGTCTGTGCTCGGCATCTGCGGTGGAAGTGTGTCCTGTTTCAGTCCGTGAGGGCACAAAGTGTCGAACTGCTCCTTTAAACTCTGAAAGTCTCCTTTTCTCCGTGTGAACTCCTCCTCCTCTGCGCGCAGATAGGATCAACCTGTTGTGCCTGATCCTGGATCAGCTCAGTCCGCGGCCCCGTGCACCCGGCTCCGGTGAACTGATCCGGGGCCAGTGCAGGTCCCCTGCTCCTCCAGCCTCCACCCCCGCAGTCTTTTCCTTCCACTCCACTTGAGTGCAGCCCGTCTCCGTTCCCACGCCTCCAGTGATCGTCTTGAATCAGCAAACTGCGCGATATGCGGAAACGAGCAGAGTAAAACCGCAGCGGTGTGCGGAATTATGCACGTTTCAGAGCGGACTAACGATGCAGGGATCACCGTGGGCAGGCCTTCCACTTTCTCCGCTGGAGCAGTAACTGCACACAGGGGACATGAACTTTTCGGGCTTGCTTATTAAGATGTCGACGGTCCGTCCGTGAGGGATTTAAAATTCTAGTTTCATGTTTGGTGGGACGGGGTGTTTTAAAATCATTGAAGCATCTGTGGCTGAGACTTTGCTTTTGTAAGGAGGTTTTTCTTGGAGGAGCTCGGCTGAAGGAGGACCGCGCTCCTCAGGAATTCGACGCCTGAAGCTGAAGTGTCCGTGAACGCCGCACGGAGCTAGCTAGCATGTAAGCTAGCTGTTGGGGGAGTTTTCTGTTTATTTAACGGTTTAAACGGATAGAAAAAGCCGTTAAGTTGGCGTTAACGCTGACTTTGAGGAGGTCCCGCACAGTTGACCTTAGCTAACTACTTTCCTGGGAGAGGGCTTCGGTGTTCCGGGACTTTTGTGTACTAACTGCGAGTTAGCCCTTAAGTCGCTTCTAGTGTTAGCCGTCGTTAGCGTCCAGCCATGCCGCAGCTGAGCCGGGAGGACGGCGACGACCTGGGAGCCAGCGACGAGCTCATCGCCTTCAAAGACGAAGGTGAGCAGGAGGAGAAGCGCAACGTGTCCGCCGAGCGAGATCTGGACGACGTCAAGTCCTCCCTGGTCAACGAGTCAGAGACCAACAGCAGCTCGGACTCAGAGGTGAGTCAAACCGGGGCCACAGCGGGGCAGCCGGGACCCCAGCGGGCTATCGGCGCTGTGTTTACCCTCCCCGTGTGCTCCTCTGTGCAGGCAGACCGGCGCCCCGAGCCCCGTCCAGGTGTGGTGAGCAGGGGCAGGCAGAGCCAGCTGAGCGAGGAAGGTAAGAGCCACAGTGCTGCTTTATGAAGTTTATGAGCCCGCTGGGAGGGAGATGGTCTCCAGCAGCAGAACACCTGGACACGGAGCTCTGTGTACCTGAGACCAGGTGAAACCTCCAAGAGACACACCTGTAACAGAGTCCAGGTGTTTCTGGGTACTTTATTGACATAATCCTCTATTGTCATTTAGATTTGTTTTATTTCCAGCCCTATTTTACACCCATGTTTCTGTATTTGTAAACATGTCTGACCTTTTTTTATTAATATTTTAAGTACATTTTTTTCTGCATTTAAAGGATAATGCCACATTTATGTTTACATTATTTATATAAATATTTCTGAGTGTCTCAGAGAGCTATTAGCAGTTATATTTACAAACACTTATTATGTTTATTTGCTATATATTTTAGTTCATTGCAAATATTTTGACTGTTTTAATTGTTTTAGAAAATTTTATTGGGTTAATGTAACAACTTGGACAACTTGACTTGTCTTCATGTATTTGCTCCTGACTTTGTTGGAATCTTATTTTAATTATACTGAGTGTGTTTCATGTCTTTTAGACATTTAAGTACATTTGGAATGTAACATTTTATATTAAATTTAATGTAATATATACAAAATAATAAATATTAATATTAATTAAAATTATTGTTGAATATTTGAATATTAATAATATTTCTCATGCATATTTCTGTCATATAATGTTTGTTTATTTTTTAAATATTAATCATTTTGGGTGGGTTTAAATTTTTGCTACACATATTCAGTATTTTATATCTCTCTCATTGGCTCTTTTAGAACACTTTATTTATTTTAGTAATGATAAATTACTTAAAAGAAATTTTTCATTAGCTTGATTTAAATTTTGTTTTTGGTATTGATTTATTTTAGCCGACATTTTTGTGCTTACACGTGTAAGCTTCCTGCTTCCAGCAGTGCGGTGAAGTCAGAGAGTGTTTGGCGTCGTGAATTCCTGATCTTAATCAGAATGAGGGTTTCACTGGAGGTGCAGCTGATTAATAATCTGATTCAGGTCTTGGGCTGTAAAAGCTGAACTGAATGTGAGCCTGAACTTGAACTGGTCTCAGGTCAGCGTGCACTGTTGATCCTTTTTATCTGTTTCTCAGCTCTGAGGAAGCAGCAGCGTGATGGAGGCGTCCTCCAGCCCTCCCCCTACGTCGGGTACCCGTTCTTCATGTTCCCTGACCTCGGGAACCTCTGCAGCCCGTACCTCGCCAATGGAGCCCTGACGGCAGGTGCCCGAACGGTAAGACGCAGACACAGAGATGCTGAAAGTGTTTTTTCATTTGGTTTTCATTTTTCATTTTCATTCAGATTTTAATTACATTTTTTTTTTTTTAGATTTTTGTCAATGTTATCTGAAAAACATAAAATGTTATCTATAGAATTTTAAATTTTATTATTGAATTTTTTAAATAGATTTTCTGTTTTTTAAATATTTTATCAATTTGAGCATTTTTATTTATTTATTTATTTACTTTTTTAGGTGATTTATTTTTAGATGTGTACTTACAGTTGGTACAGCTCAGTCACGCTCATGCACATGAAGCCATTCACGTGACACACTTTAACCCGACAGAAGGCCGCAGCAGAGACGAAAATCACGCTGACTCACCTGAAGGCTGCGTGCACGAGCGTGTGTGTGTGTGCGCGCGTGTGTGGTTGGGCAGGTCGAGCTCAGTGACGAGCTGCAGATTAGCTGCTGTAGCTTGGGGTTGGCGAGCTGGGATTAGAGGTTAATGCAGTGTGACGGTGAGGGGCTCTGATCTGAAGGCTGCTCTCGGGTAGAGGCGGGGCTTAAAGCAAACCGTGGTTACAGAGCAAAGTGGATGATGACGAGAAGGTGGTTTTACGGTTGTTCAGCCTGATCTGGAAGTTTGTGATGCGGTTTAAAAAGAGTCGATACGACAGACTGGAGGAAAGATGGATGCTGTTTTAAGGACCACTGTGTTGGGAGGGCAGAGTTGTCCAGTTGTTATCCTGGCACCAGAGGTGGAGGATGATTGGTGCCACTCCCTGAGGTTGTCACAAATAAATCATTTTCCCCCTGAGGCCACATTTCATGTCAGTTTTACAGCCGAGTATTCCCAGGAACCCAGGTCTGGGGTTTCTTTCCTTCTCCTGTGTGTTTAAAGTCTGAAAGCTCTCAGGTGGGTTTGTTATCGTTATCATTACCCGAGAGCTGGTTAGCTAAGTCGCAGTTCGGCCTCCGGCTACTGAAACGTCTTTTGACAGAAACACTGAGAAAAGAGCATCAGGATAAAACTGACTCCGCAGTGGATTTCAGGTTCAGAAAAATTTCATTTTTGTAATTTCTCTTCAAATTATTTTACATGTGTGATAACCAAAAGTGGGTTATGTTCATTGTTGAGATTACACAAGACAGCAAAGGAAGCCTTTATGCAGCTGCTGAAAGACCAGAGCCGGGTCCAGGTGTCGGGTACGAGCCACACTTGCAGTCTGGTGATGCTGCTCAGGTGTGAAATAGCACAGGTATCTCTGCTCTGCTCACAGTTCAGACCTCCTGCACCCCTCTCAGGCTACGTCCACACTAGCACAGATAGATTTGAAAACGGCGTTTTCGTCTGAAAACGCTCCGCGTCTACACTAGCGTTTTCAGTCGTTTTCACAGAGTTGTGCGTCCACATTGAAACGGCCCAAAACGCTTATGTTCCAGTCCTGCGCATTCGCAAAAGTGAGTGAGAATTAAAGAATTTGAAGAAAAGCTACTTGGAGCATGTACAAACTGATATTAATCTTTTTTTAGGGCTGTCAAAATTGAGAGCAATCAAAACAACTGCTGTATAATGCCCTCCGCTATCTTTGTTTACTTGGTCACATGACTAAAATGCGTCATCGTTTTAGAAAGTCTGCGTTTTCCAGTGTCCACACTGCGACTGGACAGCTCCGTTTTGAAATGTATGCGTTTTCGAGAGCATTTTCAAAACGCTGCATTTTTCCTTGAGGAAAACGCCGTCTCAGTGTGGACAGGAGGCCGAAACGGAGAGAAAACGATGCGTTTTCAAACAAAAACGCATTAGTGTGGACGTAGCCTCAGTGTTTTGGAGGAGCAGGAGGAGGAGGTGCGCCTGGCAGTCTGAGGGCGGGTCAGAGGCTGTCATTAATCGGGCACTGCAAACATGCGCATGTGCACACACACACACACACACACACTGCATACATAGACACTGCAAATACACTAGCTTCAAGGATCTGAAAGAAGGTGTGTGTGTGTGTGTGTGTGTGTGTGTGTGTGTGTGTGTGTGTGTGTGTGTGTGTGTGTGTGTGTGTGGGGTAATTTGAGCGTGTCAGTCCTGTTTTTTGGTAACACGTGCATGTTGATACATGCGAATATCTCCATTTAAAGCTGCCCACACACTCAGGCCCTTTGCAGGTTAGTGCATAGACTGTATACAAAAGATTGATGGGGCACTGTGACATCATCATTGGTGTTTAAACTGGTGATTTATAAACACCACCTGGCAGACACAGGACACGCTGGAGAGATTATATCTCTCAGCTGGCCTGGGAACGCTTTGGTGTTCTCCCGGACAAGCTGGAGGAGGTGGCTGGGGAGAGGGAGGTCTGGGCTTCTCTGCTTGTGCTGCTGCCCACGCAACTGGTCCCGGATAAGCAGAAGAGGATGGATGGATTTATAAACACGTGACAGGAGAGCAGGTTTGGAAGCATGTTCATGTCTGCTGTACTGTCTTGATGATGTTCAGTCAGCCAGTCCCAAAAAAGTGAATGTGTTAATCTACACATGAATTTTCAGTCACTCATCCAAGTGACCAATCATTTCTCCCAAAGTTGGACATTTCAGTGTGGGCCTCGCCTGCTGGCTGTCAGAGGAACTGCAGCTTTCCGACTTTAATCTTTTAGCCTGAGGTTACAGCTGGTTCTCCACCTGCTCTGTGGGGTGGTGTCTGAATGTCTGCATAGAAGCCTCTGCAGAACAGAAAACAACACGATGATTATATTTTTATTATATCTATATTTTTTTGTCAGCTTTGGATTTAATCCCAACTTGAACCAGTTTAACCAGTCTGATGTGCTGTTTTCAGTGTCTCTGTTTTGAGTTGAATCTCAGACCTGTGGGGACACGCTGGTGAAGTGTTGGTGATTCTTATTTTACACACAGAGCTTCTCGTCTGTTTGCAGTGCTGTAATCAGCATCTGACTGATTGGCTGAGATGGCTTGCAGTCAGTCACACCTGAGCTGTAGTGAATGGAAGCAGGAGGACCGAGGGGGCTGGGCTTTAAAAGGTTGTTGATAAAGCCGGCCGTGTGTGTGTGTGTGTTTAGTTAAAGTTGGTCCCTCTCAGCAGGCCAGACAGTCCCACAGCTCCTTTGTTTTCCTTCATATTGTCTGCAGAGTCTTAAAATACCAGGAGGACAACCTGTTTAAACACCCTCACACACAGAGGGACACACACACTAACACACAGTCACACACACACAGTTCTGCTTTCTTCACTGTGTTCCTGTACACAGAACAGAAACAGTTTATTCCCAAACGTGGAGGAAACAGGAAGTGCTTGCTGCTCACTGCAGATCTGGGTCAGACTGATGGTCCATGACACACGCTCTGACATCATCAAACTGAAGGCGTCTCCTTCATCTGATCCCGAGGCAGAACCCGGACCATCAGGACCAGAACAGGAAGACAAGGCAGCAGCTCGATAGGTGTCTTCACCTCCCAGACTCAGATCAGCAGTCAGGGTGGACTGCTCCTCCCAACCTCGCCCTCCAGGAAACGAAGGCCATTACATCCATAAGAAAAGACCACAGCACCATGGTTCTGCTTCAGCCAATCATCGCTCCAGAATAACCTCCAACAGCTGGACAGCGAAAACCACCTCGACCACAATCACTGCCTCCTCCATCCCACAGCACGGTGTAGGTGGACCCCCAGAGACCTACAGAAAGGAGCTCCATTCAGGCTGGAATTGCAGGTTGAGGTGGAGCATCTTCAGGACCCTAAAAGCAGCTGGATGACTAAGCAACTGACGCAGCTGAGCTGTGGACGTAAGTCAGGCCAAACATGTCTGCTGTACGCCGTGAGCCAACGCTTCTGAATCCACCCAGGGCATCCTGCCACCATCAGCACGCCTCTTTTTCACTCAGGGTTACGCAGCACTACTTCCCTGAGAGGGGGGGAGTCTGCTTTGTTTATTTTGGAGTGCCTCGGTAACCCTGAGGTTGGACTCTGGAAGGAAGCTGCTGTCATTCTTCTACCCGGAGATTGCAGCAAGTCATGGAGATGTTCAGACTCTACTGCTCTGGCTAGTCTGCAACAGAAAGTCCTACTCAGTAACGTCCTGTTATGACACTGCCTACCACTAGGTGTTGCACCGCTCTGTGTAAACAAGCGAGGCGGAAAGTGAGACGATGCAAAGGAAGTCATCTCACTGCAGTGTGTGTGTGTGTGTGTGTGTGTGTGTGTGTGTGTGTTTACATGCTTGTTACAGAGCGTGGGAGCAGATAAGAGCTGTGTTCTTATTGGTGGTTCATGGTGTTTTGTGGACTTTGAGCACATACTGCTCACCTGCTCAGGTGCTTGGTGGTGATGTCACTGCAGTCCAGAAGGCACATCAGTCACAGTGGTCCTGTGGTTAAGGGTCAGGGATCACAGCTGATTGGAGGACTGAGCACCTGGGGTCTGTTTACATTTGATAAAGTGAGGGGGATGTGAGTTTGTGGAAGGGGTGGGGTCAGAACAACTTTGGTTTAGATCTAATCTGTCCCTCTTCTTCCTCCTGTGTAAGCCAGGTCATTGGTCCATTCATCAGTGGGTGTGGCCCTGTGTTGGTGTTTCTGGTGTGCAGGAGTGTTTCCTGCAACACTGACACACAGAGCTTCAGATCAACACACCTGGACAGGTCACACCATCACCTCCATCACTGCTCATTATCAGCATTCACCTGAACATCCAGGTGGGTCAGAGTGTTTCAGTGCAGCTGTTAAAGTAAAGATGCACCGTGTGTGTTCAGAGCCCAGACACACACACACTTTGGTGCCGCTGCAGCAGTGAGTTTGTTCATCCTGATGTGAGGAAACGAGGTGTCCAGATGGTGTAATATGACTTCCTGTGAGCTGTTCTCCTGCAGACATGAACCTGATCTGTGAACGTGTTCTTGGACACACGTGTTGAAGCTTCACTTGGATGAAAACAGAAGTGGGAGTGTCGGGTTCTCCCTGTGTGGCGTTGCTCAGACGAGGTTTAGGTGAAACGTGTCTGAGCAGCTTTCGTTCCAGCATTGATGGTGTTTGGTCAGTTATGACAGAGCTGCTGGAACACGCGGTGCTCAGCCAGCTTAGCTAAAGTCTGCAAAAGTCTGACCTTTCAGTTCCTCCACCAATAAGTTTGCTTCGTTTTCATAAGATGGGCAAACCTTGGTGATGAGTTTACATTTCACGGTGAGTTTGAGGCCGGAGGCTGCTCCTGTGGGCGTTCTGTGGATTAGTCCGACCTGCTGGGAGGAAACTCAGACGTGGCCTTCAGCAAAGACTTTATTAGGCTGAGGAAGATGATTTCCTTCGGGCTTTAATCCCTTCATCCAGATTTGTGTCAGTGCTGGGATTACTGGTAAATATTGCAGAGAAATCATGACCAACGTGTGTGTGTGTGTCTCCACAGTACCTGCCCTTTCAGTGGCCACTGCTCGACGTCCCAGGAAGAGCATCCGTCAGAGACACAGCGACTCCCTCACACCTGGTAAGAGCTTAGAGATGAAACTAACATCAGCTCCGTCCTGATTGGTTCTCAGGCCGGTGGAGGATGATGTTTCTCCAGTTTATCATGTTGTCATGGAGATAGTCACTGATTCAACATGTGAGGTTAAAACAAGCCGGACTGTGCTCCTTCTCATCCTCACCATCACCACGCTGTAAATCAGGGCGATGTGCACAGCCTCTTATGGAGAGTGCACTTATTTATTTACTGCTTCGATCAGCTGCTCGGCCTTTGTAGTTGTAGTGCGCCCTCTGGTGGACAAACACAGCCATTTCATCCATCTCTTCTTCACTTCTTTGAGTTTCATTCTTCTGATGTTGCAGTTTTAACGATGTCCTGGTGGATCTGCACACAGAAGAGCCGTCAGAAAGCTTTAATCCGATCATTCTGTTCTTCCAGCTCTGCGCTAATCCCGCTAACTGCTTCCCCATTACTGAGTCACCCTCACATAGCAGTATTACAGTAATGTCACAGGTAGAGTCAGACCAAGGCCTGGGTCGGGGAGTCGCCCTGAAGCATCAGTAACACGAAGAGCTGTTTATAAGAAAATAATCTGTCCTTCCTCTAATCCAGAACCCTGAGATTATAATCTCATATTCATCTTTGCCTCTTAGCTGCTGTCTCTGTGTCCATTTGCAGTCCAGCAGTGTGCCGATAGTGCAGCATCCCCACGTGTCCCACCTCCACCCACTGCTGTCCTATAGCCCCGAGGCCTTCTCCCCACCGAGGGCCTCACCTGGCTTCTCTCCTGAAGCAGGTAAGCGGCATCCCTGCCTCCATCTTTAATCCTGTGGGCATGATGGTGAAGCTGAAGCATGAAGCTGAGTTGTCTCTGCAGCAGGGGTGTCCCGGTCTCCTCACGCCTCCTGCTACCCGGTCTCCCCTGGAGCCATGCCTCAGATCCCACACCCTCTGGGATGGCTGTGAGTACCACACACACACACAAACACACACACACGGTTCAGGGTTTCCATGGTAATCTCACAATTACATCACAGCCCTCAGAGGAAACAATGATGCTGTTTCTGAGGGCAGAGAAAAAAACTCAGTCACATGGAAGCACAGAGGAAATGTACTGAAGTACCACTGCTGACATGGATCACTGATGCTCTGCAGTGACCCTTTCAGCCAATCAGAGCTGAGCTCTTCTGGCACAGTTATGAATGAGGAAGCGACAGAGCGAGTGCGAGGAACTCGTTTCTGTTTGTTGATCCAGTTCAACCTGAAGGCTCCCACCGACCAGGAAGTCATAAAAACACGGCATCACGACGATTCATGTGAAACCTGCCGTACCTGTACAATCAGCTGCTGAATAACACAGGCTCGTGTTTACCTAAAACTGGTAAAAGCTGGAGAATCAGAGCAATGCTTCCAGGAAAACCCCCGGCCTTAAACACTGAGGGGACACACCCACCTCCCCGGCCGTCCTCATCGGCAGATCCAGTCGTGGGGCTGGCGAGAGGTTTCTGCACAAGTTACACGGCTGTCAGCTAACAAGAAGTCCTCACATCTGCTCGTGTTTCTGTCTGCAGGCAGGGCCAGCATATGTACCCCATGGCCGGGGGCTTCTCGCCGGCAGCACTCGCCATGAACGCCTCCATGTCGAGGTAAGTGACCGAGACTAAACACACCGTTTTGATGCTCATGTGTAGTTTGAATCAGCTCCACCTGCTCACTGCGGCTGAAGTGAAGCGTGATCCTCGCACCTTATCGCCTCATATCAGAGTTCCTCGTATTACTCCTCAGGCTTCAGGACACCTTGAGGGATCACGATGTTGTGTTAGCAAAGTAAAAGCTTCACATGTCGAGTCAGTTTGGATTATTGTGGGTTTATTTTGTTAAAATGACAATTAACAAAATAAAACAAAACATGAAGAAAAAAAATCCAGATTCATATTTTAAAAACAGGTGAGCCAGGCCAGTTTTCTCACATTGTTGAAAGTGTTATAGCTCAAGCTGATTTAATTAACATATATTATCCTGGACTCTTCAGGGCAAAGTAGGTGTTAAAATAAACATGTCCATATTTAATGCAGTTTCTTGTTTTTTGTGGTATTCAAAATATGTGGTTCATATTTCCTCAGCTCAGCATGAAAGTTAATGGAAAATAGCATTTTCTTTGTTTTTGTCTCATTTTCTATTCTGCGTGCTTTATTTCACTGTTGGAATTCAACAATATACCAACTGTATACCATTCATAAACCATTCTGTCTGTGTGACGCTTTTATTAGTACATGCTCAGATATGGGACGTAGCAGCACTCCTTGCTTTGTTAATGATCCAGTAGTATTTAACCTTTCCCTGTTCTGTTCAGTCTGGTGTCGAGCAGCTTCTCTCCTCGCTTGGTGCCCACCCCTCAGTTGTCCGTCCCCCACCCCGCCATCGTCCGCACCGGAGTCAAGCAGGAGCCTGAAAGTGATAGCTGCAACGGAGGCGGGGACAGCAGCGTTCAGCCAAGGTAAAAATAAATGGCCTCACAGTTTAATTCCAGCAGCTGCTCCTCCCACCCATTTTGTCACCAAGGTTACACTCACCCGTTTCACGCCTGTGTCCCCACAGGAAGGCGACGCCTGAAACAAAGCGCGAGGGCGACGAGGACAAGAAGCTGCACATCAAGAAGCCGCTGAACGCCTTTATGCTGTACATGAGGGAGGAGCGGCCCAAAGTGGTCGCCATGTGCAAAGTCAAGGAGAGCTCGTCCATCAACCAGATCCTCGGACAGAGGGTACTGCACCAGGGGGCGGAGCTTAATTTTTAGTCTAATGTCTTTACACATTTTAACGTTCCAGACACATTTTATTCACATATTCATGTTTTCATATTTACATTTATTTCACATTTAAAATATAAAATGATTGACAGCTGTGATGTTTTCAGAATAAATCAAGTTTTTATTCTTGATTCATAAATCAAGACATTTATGAATAAAATAAATTTTAATAATTAAGTTGTCATTTGGACAGAAAGTTGGAGGTCAGAGGTCACTCTTAGTGACATTATGGAGAAAGTGATGTCAGGTGTAGCGTCATAAAGCCGTCGGGATGAATTGAAGAAACTGAAGTTCAGAAAGGATCAAATCAGTTTCATGTTTGAGATTTAAACTTTATTAAAATTACATAAAGGAAAGTTGTAAGATTCTCTGAATCATCAAACATTCAAAGTTATGATGAAATCATTTCATCACAGCTAAAATAATGGTAAAGTCATGTGATGAGGTAGGTTGTCCCTTCTTGATCCTACTTCCTGTTAAAAGAGGGTTCTTCCTCCTCACTGTGGCCGAGTCCTGCAGGGCTGTAAATAAATATAAGTATATATAAATAATTGGTGGGTTGTTTTTTGTTTGTTTGTTTGTTTGTTTTCTGTGTTCGTGGATTCGTCATTTTTCACGTGTGTGCTGTGTTTTTTTCCGTCCTCAGTGGCACTCACTGACGAAGGACGAGCAGGCCAAATACTACGAGCTGGCACGCCAAGAGAGGCTCCTGCACTCCAAGCTTTACCCCGGCTGGTCGGCCAGAGACAACTATGTGAGTATGAAAGTCGCGTGATCATGTGTCACATGTTCGTGTCAGCTGACGTGCTCATGGCTCATTTCCTGCAGGGGAAGAAGAAGAAGAGGAAGAGGGCGAGGATGGAGATGAAGCTCGAAGGTGAGGCAATGTTTGCTGTTTTCTTTGTGACGATGTAGAAAATGTCACAATGATGTCACTTTTGTGCGTCTGCTCCTCAGTTGCCGCGGCGGCACCGTCAGACAACTTCCCCCCGCAGCTGAAGAGGCCTCGTATCTCCGTGGGAGCCGAGGACCCACCGCCGCCTCCACCGCACACACAGACTGCACACGCGCGCCATCACCTGACGCAGCCGCACACCGTCTCTCACCTGACACACACACACCTGTCACAGGCGAGCCCCGCCTCCTCCTTGGACTCTCCCGCGACTCCCACCACGTCGCTGGCCTCGCCCGCTGCCCCGGCGCCGACGCACACGGAGCACACACACTCGTCGTCCTTCAGTGGGCACACGTCACCGTACCCCGAGCAGCTGCAGCCGCTCTCCCTTACCACCAAGCCCCAGCGGCCACCACTGTCCCTGAACCGCGCCACCATCACCACGGGCCCCTCCACGCCCTCCTCCAACACCGCCTCGTCCCCGCCACAACGGCCCCCTCCTCTACGCTCTCAGCCTTTCCTGGCCCCGCCTCCTACCTCTTTGAGCTCTCACGGTGCCTTAACTCAGCAGCTCCGAAGAACCAATCAGCCGTGACGAACGGCGTGAGAAACAAATAAATTCTGACCTCGTTTTTACCGCCACTGTTTTTTATGCTCTTTTCTATCCGTGTCATGTTTGTACGAGAATAAAAGGACGTGTAATTGGTCAATATTTGACTGCACCTCGGACTCCAAGGAACTATTTTTACACTTTTTCAGGAAGTAACGGTGAGGGGGCGGGGCTTAGTTTGTTTAACATGCTTTTTTTACCTGGTAGTTTTGAGTGTAAACAGATTTCCTGTTTCCTCCTCTTTGTCAATAAACCTTCACTCAGCTCTCACCTGAAGTTTCAGAGCTCTCTGTGTGCAGCGTCCGACGGGCTCTGACTCTGGGGTGAAAGATCATCATCGAAACATCACGCCCCATTGTTTATATCTCATTTACTGTTTGCAGCAGATTATCCGAGTCCCTATGGAATCAGAGTCAGGAATATTTTGAAAGAATCAAGCCTAGATAATGTCCGACATTGACGTCATGAATTATAAAGAAAACGAGCTTCATCTCTGAGACTAAACAAGAAAAATAAAGGTGCACACATACACGGTACTTTACTACACGCAGGCTTTTTCTTTGTTGCTTCCAGAGTTTCAGTGTTTTATGTGTGGACGAAGGAAAAAGAAAACTTGGCCTGTGTGCCGTGTTTTTGGATCAAGCTGAATTGTTTCATGGATATAGTTATGTCACCACCTACTGCTCTGTCCAGCTCCACAGACCTTGAGGTTATTTTTTTTGTTTTGGTTTTATGAGGACAAAAACATTTTCCAAAACTAATTTGGGAAAAATAATAAACTCGTGTACATGTGGTCATAGCCTTGATTCCACTGACGTTAATGTCTTGGAAAGATTTAGGAAATAGGTTTTGAGAAACACTCGGCAAAAGAAAATATACTTGGAAAATCCAACATTTAAATACAGGAATTTATCACAAAAAAAGGGCGACTCTCAGGAAGTAACTGTGAGGGGGCCCCAATAATCTGTGCCACATTTTAACAGTGGCTGTTAAAGTGTGGCAGATGACAAAAAAGGTAGATTAGTCATCAAAAGTTAAAACCTTGGATAATGTGTAGAGATGATCCAAGTTTTCCTTGTAAAATTATAATCTGTACAGAAACTCAAATTTAAAGAGCTCTGCTGTGTTCTGAGATTAAAGTCATTAAAACATTAACATATCTGTAACTGCATTCACAGGAAGGTAAAAAAGGTCCTGAATGTTCTTTAGAAGTGTGGCTCCTCTCCGTGAGGTTGTAAGGAAAAACATGGACCATTCCTGAAGGTAAGATTCCTGAAAATCCGTGTTTGGTTAGAGGTGAGCAGCATATCGATACCAACACTGGTGCCAGTATCGGATCCATGCTTTGTTTCTCAAAGTCCAGTATGTATCCCACCGCCCACCCATACCTACATTGTCTTCTGCAGGTCATGGTCATGGGGGTGGGGCGTGAACCAATCACTTACATTCACACCTACATGCATTTAGAATCACCAATTAACCCAACCACACTGTATCCCACTGAGCTGTGTTAAATGAATGTTTTAATCTTTTTATGAAAGAATAAACGTCAGTCGTTTACAGTCTTTAGCATATTTAAACAACAGACGCTGGCCTTTAAAAACGGGCACATTTACACCCCAGCTCTACAAAACACACAGCATCAATATGTAAGAAAACTGTTAACTAATCATAAGTAGTAAAAATCACAATGCTGTCGTTGTTTAGTGTTAATTAAAATGTGTTCAGAATTTGGCAAATGTAAAAGAAAAAAAAAGCTCATAAATAATGACACACTGCTCTCCCCTACATCAGCTGGTTAAAAGTATTAGAACCAGAAATACTGCTCTTAGTTTGCTTTGTATTGGATCAATACCAATGTTTGCAGTGTTGCACAGCACTTCCAGATTCAAAAGCTCAACCAGTCCAGTCATGAATACCTGAACCTGCTGGACTGAAACCAACCATGATAAACTTGTTCATTACATTTCCTCCAAACTCAGAGCCGCTGCTGGACCATTACATGAACATCACTCACCAAATATTTCAGAGGTTTGACTTTTTGCCGTTTTAGGTGCAGTTGTGCTCTGGAAGGTGCCCAGTGCTCTCTGAGCAGGTAAGAGTTTCCTGTGTCACCCTGTTCCGACAAAGACCCGGCAGAGGAGCTCGAAGGAAAGACCTTGACTCTAATCTGGACCTGAACACTGAACACAATTCACACAGCTGAAGGTACATCAGCCGCATCATGCTGCTTCATGCTGTCAGGTAAAAACCCTGTGATCATGGACAGGAAACCCCATATTAGCTACACTTGACAACAACGGGGAGGAAGAGGTTGATTTAAACAGCAAGAGGCCTCCACCCGAAGCACAATCATGGAGAGTTGAGGGGGTAAGGTCTTGAGGCCTTAATGTAAGTTAATGAAGCTCTTCCATCACCTGACCTCTGGAGGGCGCCGTAGATCATGGAGAACAAAGATGTGCAGACGTCCTGGTGAGAGATCAAAGACGTCCTGATAGCAGTAAACCTGATTCTGCTAGACTGAAACTGACTTTCACTTTTTCTTTCAAGGAAAAGACCATCTCTGAACCGAGAAGGATGCCTAAGGGTTCATTTTTCTTACAATGCTGTGATTGCAGCCAACTCTCTGTGAATGTACTCATGACCAATGATCAATGGTGCGAGTACAAGAAAATAATTATTACAATATAATGTTTTAAATTTGCTTAGATCAGAGGAATAGGGAAGGATTTGTCTGTGTTTCAGTTTGGCTTAGCTGTAGGCCTGAGAGTGTGTGTAATTGTTTAGAGGGAAATAAATTTATTAACACTGGAGGTCTGCTGTCATAAAAGGAGACAGGAAGCTACAGTTGGGGGTTGCTGATGCTGATGCTTGTACCTTTAATAAAAAATCATAATTGTTATAACTTAGAAGTAGGTTTGCAGGAGACTCTCCACATGATCTGTAAATGTAAGACAACAAGAGGCCACTGGCCCAGTGGATGCAGAGTGGGGGTCTCAGTGTTTGAAATATGTTAACTCTGTTTTCTATGTTGTGTAGAGGAATTTGGTGTAGCTTGGGTGAGATTACTTTTATGACCGGCAGGATGTCATGTACACAGAGACACACACACACAGTGCTTAAACTGTTACACTCACACATACACACAGGTACGTGCACACATTCACTTACGTGCACTTACATAGACATACGGATACGTGCACACACAGGCACTCACGTGCTCGTGCATACACACACAAACAGAGTTTGCAACACACCATGGGGTCGCTTCTATAAAGCTGACTGTAACAAACAAAGGAGTGGAAGATCTGCAGAGGGACACCAGCCTTGCACGTCTCCCCTTCTAGAAGATGCTTAAATGAAGATGAATAAAGGTTTTGTGAAAATGACTACTGAGTCCGGTGCTGTCTCTGGATGCCTCGAGGAATAAAAAAGAATTGATTTTGTAACAATGGTCATGACAATTTGCATATGAATGATCATAAATTGACCTCATATTGTTAGTGTGCTAGTTTCAGTCATTATGCAGATGTGCTGTTTATAAGGTTGGAAATCTGCAGTTAGCTGAGACTGAAGAAGTCACCTGGATAATGATGAAACATTTCTCCCACTGATATGGCATGTAGATTCAAGATTTAAGGTCTTTATTGTCAGTACAACAATATACACAATATACAGCATACCAAAATGCCATTTCACCCCAAGCCCCCTCGTTCATTATAATTATATAAGAAGTATATCTCGAAGAGATATAAAACCAGAAATTACAAATAAAAATAATTTGATTTTGAGGTAAAATTAGGAGCTAAAAAGGTACTATTACGAACTATATCTATGAACAATACACAAAGACTGGACAGAGTAGTAGATTTGTGGAAGTTTGTGTTGTTTTTGAGTCTTTTGTTGAGTATTGTATCAAGAAATAACCCCAGATACTTTCTAAGATTAAAGATTTCATAAAAAATTTTTTTTAAGTAAATAAAAGTAAAAATCACTTAAAAAACCTGACTGTGTCCCAGTGATTTATGGCAGTTTATGCACATTTCCAAAAAGAATAAACTGTCAGTTCAGTGTAAGAATACAGAAAAATTGCTGTTTTTTAATTTTTTGTCTTAGATGATAAAACTGTTAAAAATTAAACCATTGTTTATCAGTCAGTGATTAAAAAAAAACCTTAAAATTTGGATTAAGGTTTATATTAAAGTTTAATTTAAAGTTTATAATATCATAAATCTCTGGGGAAAGATGATAAATTGTACTGAGATTTTCATTTCTGCTAATCTCAGATTACAGTGAAACACATCTAATCTGCTATTCTCATCTCACACATCAAAGGCACTCAGCTCACGCCTTTCATGTGTGAGCTGAGCTGCTCACAGGCCAAAGGACACATCTTGACCTTTGACCTGCAGTTGTTGCTGATTCCTAGCAGTGTGCTGGGCCACGTCACTGCTGTCAAACTGCTGGATTTATGGTCTGCAGGTGAGTGTTGACTCATTGTGAAACTCAAACAGCTGAGGGCATCGTGACCAGTGTTACCTGCAGGAAAGGAAAAAACATAGTTGTGCAACACCTGTCCAGGGCAGTCCACCACACTGTCAGGTGTGCCAGAAGGCGGGGTTGAACCTTCACATCTGCTGCAGGTGGAGAGTTAACAGATGAGTGATGGATGCCAGAGCAGGGAGTAACCGGGCTGTGGTAGTGTCCGTGGCCCAGTTTGACCCCGGCGTGAGTCTGGGGGACAGGGCCGGAGCCCAGAAAGACGCCAAGAGGCTTCACGGCACCCTCAGCAGGCGAGGCTTCGAGGTGGAGCTGCACAGCGACCTGAGCGGTGACGAAATCTACGAGCTGTTTGTGCAAGGTAACATTTCCATGGAAGCATCATGTGTGGTTTGAAGGATAAATCACCTGCAGCGGGCATGGGCTCATGTGCAGGTGGGCGTGAACATGTCCAGCCTCACTCATCTCACAGGTAACCAGGTGCTGCTGATCAGCAGGTGAGACCGCCTGTGTAAATGCAGAGCTCTGAGCAGGTCTGCAGCTTCCACACGTACAAACTTCCCAGCAAAGTCATCTCAGTCAGATGCTTATTGTCCCTGCATGCCTCGGTTATCAGGTCAAAGGTTAAAGTTCACGGCAACAGCGGTCTAAAGGAAAAAGCCTCTTTTCTCTGTGACAGCGCAGCTTAGGTGTGCAAACCTGCATCTGACTCTGGAACAGTGAGCTCTGGACATTTATGTATTGCTCTATGGATTTATGGATTTATTGACTTTCAGCTCTGAACACCATGAGACGAGTGCCGATTAGCTCTAATACATTAAAGAAAGAAGAAGAATATACTGATGGATGCTTCCATGTTGTATATTATTTCTATTATTACATATTAAAGACCCAAACAGCTGCAGGCCGGAGGGCAAATTGAATCATAGCGTGATGAGGTGAATGATCAGCTGACTGTAGAGTGTCTGTGAGCAGCTCACTGTGCCATTCAGCAGCTCCAGGCTAGAACCTGCTTCTCACAGGACAGGTGAGGTGCGTCATTTATTCGCTCCAACATCAAAACAAAAGTTCATCGTAAGTTTATCTTATCTGAACGATCACATGACTGACTACTGGTCACGTAGCCCAGGTGTGTTGGCTCATTTAACAATTTCCCATGTGGGATCAATAAAGTATCTAATCACTGATCTTATAGTAGCACCAGCTCTGTATTTGGTGCTGTATTTTTATAATCTTCAGAGCTCTTTCACCACTGATAATGTTTGCTTTGTGCAGAGTCACATCATGCATGCCTTAACCAGTAACCACCATCGTGATAACGGTCAACTCAGACTGGATTTAATCCAGCTAAAACAGAGAAAGCCTGGCTATGCTGGGCTGCTTTTGCACTTCAGTTAACTGAGGTGAAGCTAGCAGATAGCTAGCAGCAACAGCCACCTGTGTCACCATCCACCTGTTTGTCAAAGAGGCCACGGCCCTAATAATGCACACTTTAAGCCTTAATCCAGTTTAAACAGGTA